GTTTTATATTTTTCCACCTGTTCTTTACACCCTTTTTCCTCTTAGTCTGCTTTTTTTTTTTTTTTTAAATTGGGAATTACTATATGATTCTACTTTATCTCCTTGGTTTGCCTATTAGCTGTCATTTTTTGATTTGCTATTTATTTTATTATTTAGAGACAGGGTCTTGCTCTGTTACCCAGGCTAGAGTACAATGGTGCAGGCACAGCTCACTGTAACTTCGAACCCCTGGATTGAAAAAACCCTCCCACCTCAGCCTCCCTAGTAGCTAAGACTACAGGCTAATTAATCTTTTGTTTTTTGAGATGGGGTCTTGCTGTGTTGCCCAGGCTGGTCTCAAACTCCTGGGCTCAAAGGATCCTCCACCTCAGCTTCCCAAAGTGCTGGCATCACAGGTGTCAGCTGCTGTCCCTGGTCCTCAATTTGTTATTTTAATAGTTGTTTTGGGCCAGGAGCGGTGGCTCACACCTGTCCCAGCACTTTGGGAGGCCAAGGCAGGTGGGTCGCCTGAGGTCAGGAGCTCAAGACCAGCCTGGCCAACATGGTGAAACCCTGTCTTACTAAAAATGCAAATACTAGCTGGGTGTGGTGGCAGGTGCCTGTAATCTCAGATACTTGGGAGGCTGAGGCAGGAGAATCGCTTGAACCTGGGGGATGCCCACAATTGCTTGTGCCGCTTCACACTCCCACCTGGGTGACAGAGCAAGACTCTGTCTCCAAAAAAAAAAAAAAAAGTCATTTTAGGGTTAATAGTATATATCTTTAACTTACCACAGTCTTCCTCCAAGTGCTATTATACTTCTTCATGTATAGTATTCTAGAACCTACAATAGTATACTTCCATTTCTCTGGCCTTTGTACTATTGTCGCACATTTTAATTTACATATATTATTAACCCCTTGCTACTTTGTCTTTAACTTAAAAGTCAATTGTCTTTTAAAGAGATTCATATAAGATATGAAAAAAAACCTTTCAGTTCCCATTTTTAAAACTGTTCTTTCTTTTGAGTAGACACATAGCTTCTTTTGGCATCATTTTCTTTTTCCCTGAAAGACTTCCTTTAACATTTCTTTTAGTGAAGGTCTATGAATGATGATTTTTTTCTGTTTTTGTGTGTCCAAAAAAATGTTTATTTTACTTAAGTTTTTGAAAGATATTTTCTCTGGGTATATAAGTCTATGTTGGAAGTTTTTTCTTCTTTTAGAACTTTAAAAATGGGCTGGGCACAGTGGTTCTTGCCTGTAATCACAGCACTTTTGGAGGCCAAGGTTGGTGGATTGCTTGAGCTTAGGAGTTTGAGACCAGCCTGGGCAATATGGCAAAACCTTATCTCTACAAAAAATATAGAACTTGGCCAGGTGTGGTGGCATACACCTGTAGTCCCAGCTACTTGGGAGGTGAGGTGGGAGGACTGCCTGAGACCAGGAGGCACAGGTTGCAGTCAGTTGAGATCACACCACTGCACTTTATCCTGGGCGACTGAGTGAGGCCCTGTCACCAAAAAAAAGCTTTAAAAATGTTGTTCTGTGGACATCGAATCCATCTGCCACTCCACTAATTTGTCTGTGTCTAATAAATCTAATCTACCCACTGATTTTTTATTTCAATGACTATATTTTTCCTATCCAAAAGTTCTATTTGGTTCTCTTAAAAATCTCCCTGTTTTTTCCATAATCATTTTATTTCCTTGTTGTTTCTGAAACTTTTTTCTTCAATCATTTAACATACTGTGTTATGGCTTCTTTCGCTTTGCTGATTATTATCTAAGATTCTTGGTACTCTAATCATCCTGTTTGTGATATCTGCTAATATTTACTCATAGTAGATTGATTGCTTGTTAGTTTTACAATTAAAAAAAAAATGAAGAATTCATCTTAAGCAGTGCTTGCTTTTGTTGCAGGGCCTTTGTGCAATTTGTCTTACTGAAAAGAGCCTGCATTTGTTTCTAGAAAGTAACTGTGGTATCTTACTGGCCAAGGACCCACTTTATGTTAATTTCTTAACATGGAGTTCCAGCATGTTACAATCGGTTAAAATTTATATTCCAAACTCAAAAGTTTTCATTTCAGGTTTTGATTTATCAAGGTAAAATTCCATCCTCTATCCAGAGCTGGGGTCAGGAATAAATTTCCCTGTGGTCTTCAGGGCCAATTAGTGGAAAGTCTTGTTCCTCTTTTTATGGGGTACAGTCCTTTATGAGATTCAGCCTTTTATGGAAATCTCAGTTCCAATTTTTCATCTCACTCAGGCCCTGGGCCTTATTTCTTGTCCCCAAGTGCATGTTCATACACAAGTATCTATCTCTTACTGGTTCTCCATCTCCCCAAGACAGCTGCAATGACAGATTGTATGTATATCACTCTGAGTTTTAGTTCTCTCTTTGGTTCTGGCTCATAGAAATTTTTTTATTTGTGTCTCCCATGAGTCTAGTATTGTATTAAGAAGAATGACAAAACCAACAAGAAGTGTAATTTTAACATTATCTCCAGGTATTTGTGGAGAATAGGTTTCCATAGTATTCTAGTTATCAATTTTTTTGTAATCCTCTGTAGATAAAATGAACTTATATGAAATATTAAGAGACTCAAAGAATAATGGCATATGAAGAGAAGTTTCTAGTGATATGCTCATTATACATATACCTGTGAGGCCAATCATTATTTTAACAAAGACATAGGAAATGGCATGTTATGCTTATACATTTAAGAAAAACACAAAATTAAGCAGAAATTAATATATTTAATGACAACTGGGATTTCTAAGTATCTTGGTAAGTTGAGGTGATAGGCTAAATAAAATGAGATTGTGAATAACAGGATGTTAAGTGCAGCATTTAGTTTTTATTTTAAAAACAAAAATAAAAACAAGAAACAGCTTCAAAAGTACTGAAGATACAGCTTAAAAATAACTCAATACAATTTAAAATAACTAAAAGAGTATAATTGGATTGTTTGTAACATGAAGGATAAATACTTGAGGCAACAGATACCCCACCTACACTTATGTGATTATGCATTGCATGCCTGTATCAAAATGTCACATGTACCCCATAAATATATACACCTACTATCTACCCATAAAAATTAAAAATTAAAAAAAGAACTAAAACAACAACAACAACAATTCAAGTGAGAACTGTGGAGGAGCTTGAGTTGACTGCTCCACATGAGCCCACAGTGTAAAATGGCTGCCAGAAATTCACCCTATATAAGAACAGTGCTGAGGAAAAGAGAGAATATAATTTTGTACTTATCAGATTACAAGCATGTATTAGTTACCTATTGCTGTGTAACAGAGTACCCCAAAACTTAGTGCCTTAAAACAGTAAATGTTAATTATCTCAGAGTCTGAAATATTGGTGCAGTTTAGCTGCATGCCTCTGTCATAAAGTCTCTCACAGGATGGAATCAAGGTGTGGAATGGAACTGTGGTCTCATCTGAAAGCTTGACGGGGGAGAATCTGCTTCCAAACTCTCTCACATAGTACTGGCTGGATTCAGTTCCTTGTGGGCTATTAAATTACGATATCAGTTCCTTACTGGCTGTTGAGAAGGCCTCCCTCAGTTCCTCAGCACATGGGCTTCTCCACAGGGCAGCTCACAACATGGCAGCTGGCTTTCATCAGAGCAAGCACACAAAAGTGCAGAGTGGGCAAGCAAGGTGGAAGTTTTGGTATCTCTGTAACCTAATCTCAGAAGTGATATTCATCACTTGCCATATTCTAGGTCAAGCCCACACTGGAGGTACAGGGTAGATTCCAGGAGGCAATGATCATTAGGAACCATCTTAAAGGTTACCTACCATAAGGTATTGTATTTTTAAATGGTCCTAAAGGTACCAAATGATATCCCAAATATGTGATCAAGCCAATTAAAAAATTTTTTTGTTAAGTAATGTATTTTTAAAACTTGATAAAAAACAATTGTCCATATTTACAGAATACATGTAAAAACTGTTTTAAAGAATAAAGACTCACATAACGTAAAATAAAAATTAGAGATATAAAATATATAGCCTGGAAAAGAGAAGTGAGAGCAAAACACTGCAGAGCAAAAAACAGGAGACAGAAGGGAAGGGGTAGAAACTTTCACTGTTGTTTTAAAATAATTGAAAGGTTGTCATGTGTAAGAGAGATTGTATTCAGTTTCTGTAGGTCCAACAGGCTAAGCAAACACCAATATCACTTATCACACAATGTTTTAATGGCCATCTGCATCCTCTCCATGATTAGAAACTGCTTATACATAGATACTATACATGTCTGGTTCACTATTGCAATTCTGTTACCAGAACATAATAGACACTCAATAAATATTTGATGAATGATATGTGAGAAAATTAAAGAATAAAGAGAAATAAATTTTAGCCCCAAATCTTAAAGAACTTAATGCTTAGAATTTTCCAAAATCATAATGGTTCCTATGTCTCTGGCAGTGCTAAAGGAGAAGCTGGATGGTCATCCTCTCATTAAAGGCGAGTCAAGAGAATTCTCGTGACTCTAAGTGTTAACAACTTTCTGGTTCCACAACACTGTTAGTCTGAGTAAAGAAATCCCTTCCAAAAATTGTTGGCAGATGGCCTGTCAATGTTGAAGACATGATAAAACCACAATTCTTCCCCTTGGACAACACACTCTGAGCATTTTAAAACATTTAACCACATTAAAGATAAGTCCTATTAAGGTGGTTTTTTACTGGACCCACTTTCTAAACCTGCTGTACTGTTGAAAGGCAGCGTGTTATAGTAGGAAGACAAAGGCTGTGGGTTTGGGAGTCACACTGACCTGATATGGCTCTGCACTTAACTAGAACCCCAGGCAAGCCACCCAACCTCATTGGGCCTCAGTTTCTTAATTCAAAAACAGGGATAACATTCACTCAAAAGTTTGCTCTGTTTTGTTTCCCTGATGATTGTAAAGTACGTATTCTCTTGTGGCAGTGAAAAGCACCAAGAAGTATTTTAGAATCTGGGTAATGAAGGTATTCCTCTCACACCCTACCTTGATAGTTTTTCACAGAAGTCATCTTGTTATAATCTTCTGACAATATAAACTCCTGTAAAAGAAAAGAAAAATATTAAACAAAAATAAATTCTTTAAGTGAAGGACTATATTTGGTAAAACCAGATTGAATAAAGCAAATTATCATGACAGATACATCTAACATTAGTATTTTGCCCATCAACTCAGAATTTTTGTATCCCTTTAAAAGTAACAATCATAATTATGATCCAATGCAGTTATCATAATTTTACCTTGTAAGTGTTGACTTTTTGTGTATGCACGAGAAGAAAACCAGATCAAGTTGAGCATCTTGATATTGGTCAATTTTGAAGATAAACCTAATTCAAAATACTTTTCTTTCAAGGGTGCCAAAGCTAAAAATTTTCAAGGCTCTAACCAGTAAGGAAATAGATGGCAACTCTCTACTAAAAATAAATTAGGTATTTTAAAGATTCTTTTTCTAAGATTAGCAATTTATTTCCCCTTACTACAAGCATCTCAAGGTTGCATCTTACTCATCTCTGTACCCCCAGGGAACCGGGCACAGTACTTTGGCACAGTAGGTAATTAATAAATAACGGTCACACAAAGACACTTCTTAATGTAATGAGATTAGCCTGAATGTCAAATTTACTGAAAATATCAGTTTCTATATCGCACATTATATATACCCTTTGTGGGGACGCATAAGTGTGTGCTGTTTCGCCCAAGCATCTGTGTATACAGTGACCCGAATGTAGAAGCTGATTGAGGGTTTATGGGATCCAGCCAGGTTTTGAGTCCTTAGGCTTCATTCAAATGAAAAATATCCAGGTATTCTTAAAGAGTATATTATGAAACATAAGGAAAGCTGCAAAGTATAATAAATTGATACCTTCATCTGAGTTTAGAAACAGGGCAATTAATCTTTTCAAAATATCTGGAAGCATCCAGGATTTTTCTTTGATAACTTTAAAAAGGAGGGATGGGAAGAAAGATGCCTAAATGCCTTACTTGCTATTTGGGTCTTCCTGAGTTTAGTAGTTTGTGTAATTTTTCAGAAGGAAATAATTATTTTATTGTTTTTGTGATAAATGTCACAAAGGTAAAGTAGGAGATGATGTGAGAGAACATACAAGGCAATAAAGTTACTTTGCTTATTCATTTTTCTATTCCAGCCCCCTTTAAGAAGCTTATCTACAAATGAATTTTCTTCATGATTTTCTCAGTAATAACATTATTCAACTTGTCACTTTAAAAATTCATATCATTATTTCTTCAAGGAGTGGCATTACATTCACTTCTTGTTTTGAAAGAGTTAGACCTACAACTGGACACAACAGACTAATTTTTTTTTTTTCTTTTTTTTTGATAGAGTCTTGAGCTCTGTTGCCTGGTTGGAGTGCAGTGGTGCAATCTTGGCTCACTGCAACCTCTGCCTCCCAGGTTCAAGTAATTCTCCTGCCTCAGCCTCCCTAGTAGCTGGGATTATAGGTGTATGCCACCATGCCCGGCTAATTTTGGTATTTTTAGTAGAGATGGGGTTTCACCACGTTGGCCAGGCTGGTCTTGAACTCCTGACCTCAGGTGATCCGCTCACCTCAGCCTCCTAAAGTGCTGGGATTATAGGTGTGCACCACCGTGCCCGGCCAGAGCAGACTAATTTTTAAAGAAGTAAAGTAGCTGGCCCATAAAGTGCTTATAGTGTAGGTAAGGAAACCCGGGAGGTGCCTAAGCCACAAGTCACTAGCAACTTTTAATCCCAGGCAACAGGACCTCAACCCTGACCCCCAACTTTACAGGGTCCCAAATATCGTGACACATACACAAATAAATTTATTAAAGACAATTGTTATCTGGCCAAATGTTTTCTGAATTCATATTGTTCATGCTATTTTGAATATACTGAAATGGTTCTCTGGCCTGGTCAAAAGCTTTCGAAACAGCGTAAGGTATAAAATAACACAACTTAATAGAGGTTTGCATTTAGGATTTAATATACACATTAAAAATAAAATTACCAGTTCAACGCATTGGTAAACCTAATTTCTTGGTCATTTATTTTTCCTATGATAATAAAAACATATAATTATGGAGAAAATGTAGATTTTGTGTCAGCTTTTGTTATTACTTTTTTGATCACAGAAACACAATATACTACTCTAAGAAATGTAAGAAAAATAAACACTAAAAATCCCTTGTGATACCATTTCTCAAACATAAGTATTATGGAAAGTACAGTTGTAATAATGTATAATAAAACAAAACATTAAAACTACTTGGCAATGCTGTTTTCTTTTTACAGTTCATGCATATAATTCCATGAGTACATACTCATCAACTTCATTCTTTTTGATGACTGCATAGGATGCAGTAAATATTCTTTTTTTTTTGAGAGAGAACTTCAGAGCTTCACTCTTGTTGCCCAGGCTAGAGTGCAACGGTGTGATCTCGGCTCACTGCAACCTCTGCCCTCCCGGGTTCAAGCGATTCTCCTACCTCAGCCTCCTAAGTAGTTGAGATTACAGGCACGTGCCACCACGCCTGGCTAATTTATTGTATTTTTAGTAGAGATGGGGTTTCTCCATGTTGGTCAGACTGGTCTTGAACACCCGACCTCAGGTGATCTGCCTGTCTTGGCCTCCCAAAGTGCTGGGATTACAGGCATGAGCCACCAGGCCTGGCCATAATATTCCTTTAATATTCCTTTATTGATGAATGTTTGTTTCCAGTTTTCCTTATTGAAAATATTACATTAAATGTATTATATCTTTATATGTCTCCAGCAGTACTTCTATAAAAGAAAAGTCCAAAAAGTAGAATTATTGGATCAAAGAGTATAACCATTGACATTTTGATAGATATGGCCAAATTGAGTTTTTAAAAGATTTTGTCTGTTAACACTCATGAACAATTAAAATGTAAAGGTTTGGCTGCAGTTATTTTCTTAGGATTGACCAATAAAAGTTCAAAACAAATTAGATCAAAGATATACACATTTGAAATATTTTGGATAAAATAGTTTCTATTCCTTCTTTATTATTTCTATCCTTCCTTCTTTCCATTTAGCTGTCCACTCATCTATCACTTAGTTGTTTTTAATGCTCACTGTAATACATCAAACAATATAGGATATACAAGCAAAAAGCTAACAATTGTCTTCACCTTCAATCTCACCCTTTTGAGGCAACCAATGTTAACAGTCTGGCGTATTTTTTAAATGTCTTTTTTTTAAACCCTTATACAAACATATATGAACATATATACATTTTTTTGTTGTATAAAAACAGGATCACATTATAGATATTATTCTGTAACTTTCTGTTTTCATCTAAAGTACACCAGAGCCCTATTTTCCAGAAGCACGTAGTTCTAACTTATTCTTTCTGATGGCTGTATAATATTCCATAAAATGGATATGCCAAACTTTATTCAAGTACTTCACATTTTAAGTGGACACTCCATTTGTCTGCTATAATTTCCAATTATAGCAATACTTTGAGAAAGGTCTTTGCAAGTATATCCGTATGAACTAATGTCTATGTAGAAGAGACACTGGCTCAAATATCACGTACATTTACTGTCTTAATAAACACTGCCATATTATTTTCCAGGAAGCATGCAGCCATGCACTCTGTCACCTACTCCCATCTTCATTTGACAGCATTTTTTCCCACATCTTATCAGCACTGAATGCTACTGATCTTTTCAATTTTTCCCAAACTGATGTGCGAAACAAGAGGGTATCTCATTGTGGTTTATGTTCATTACACTATTTATGAGCTGCAGAACTTTTTGTGTTTATTTGCTATTTTCATTCATTTCTTGTTTTACGAATTTTTTGTTCAAATTCTGCTGTAGCCTGGTTCTCTGAAAAACAGCGTGAAGCAAAGCTTAAGCCTAATGCTTTATATGAAGGTGCAGTATCGGCAACAGTGAGTGAGGGTAAAGCAAAGCAAAGCGGAGAAAGATGGTGGTGCATTACCAAGCTCGCCTGAGTTTCACAAGATGCCCAGCTGCTTCTCAGCATTCAGGAAGTCTCTGGACAGATAGAAGTGAAACACCAGGTTTTGGAAAAATCCACTGAAGGGAGGGATGGAAAGGGAATTTATCTGCCAGATGTCTCCCATACCCTTTTGCATTTTAATCATAGCTCCACATGAATCTACTTTCTCTCTGCTTGTAGAAAGTTGGACCACCTAGCCCTGTTGCAGCCACCGGGGAAGTCATATCTGTGTCTCTGCAGTGCTGTGCTTCATATAATTCAGAAGTAGCAGGGGAACCAGATCCTCTGGGCTTAGGCGTCAGGGTGGAACAAGGTGCCAAGAGAGCCCAGGAAACAAGTGCAATCAAGAAAATGAAGTGGTCCAGGCATACCCTTTGCTCTTTTGGTCTATTACATTTGTAATTGTCTTACTAAATTGTAGAAATTCTTTGACTATTAGGGATAGTTATCCTTTGTTTAATATGTGAATTGACAGTATTTTCTCTCCTAATATTCTGCCTTGGAATTTTATTAAATATTTTGTAATATTGAAATGTTTTTTTTTTTTTAATTAACAAACAACCATGGCATTATGAGTTAAAATTGCATTATATCTTTTAAGTTTTAATTTGGGAAGGAATAATATTTTAACTGTAATATACTCAAGTACTTAAATACAATTTTTCTTTACTAGTTTAAATGGCATTTCCCCCAACCCCATTTCAATTTCCAATGAATTACTTCTCACACATAATGAAAACAACTCTTGGTTTTGGGATACACATGCATTAAGTTTTAGTACGCTATTGTAGCATTTAACACAGTATTTGTTGTTGAGTTACCTAAACCCTGACCAAGTTTAGGTAATCACTGCTATTTCAGTTTTATCTGGAATTTTTATTAACAGTAGTTGCCAAATTTAATTAAATTGAACAGAATGTGTTTTTGATATCTATTAAACGAAATTTGTTAAAATCCTTCAATTCATTAAAGTAACTGATTATTGTTAAACAGTTTTCTGATATTGACCCATTCTTAACTCCTGGAAAGAATCCAAACTTGCCCTGATGTATTCTTCCTTTAATACA